TTTAATATTCCTTACTTAAGTTTAATAATTTACCTTTTTTTTGCACAGGCATTTGCTAACAACTAAAATTTGGTATATCTCCCAAAAAAACGTGTTTTTTTGGGTTTTTTGGGCGTTTTTTTCGTTTTTTTTGGCATTTATTTGGTTTCGGTTGGGTTTTTTTGGGCTTTAACACATTCTTAAGGTTTATTAATTTTGTGAGACCAGAGACATTAGCAAAAGTGCTAAGAAAATATAGATCTTTTTAGTATTATAGATTAGTAAAATGGCAAACTAAATTTCACTATTATTTAAAATTAGATAACAAACAACATTTATTTTTATTATGTACAGTGTAACCACAGACTACTTTATTATTATGTATCGGATACATAACTTAGGTTAGTTATACCAAACCCATTGCTTATGGGTTTGGTATTGTTTTCATATTTTTATTTAGTAATAATTTTAATTTAAAATTTAAAAGAAAACAACAGTTTTATTTCAGGTTTTGTTATTAAAAATTTATCTCCTGAAGAATCATGATTGTAATGTTCAGATAATTTTTGATCTAGTGAGTCATCTGAAATAATGATTGATTCACGAGATTCATTTGATGTATTTAATGATTCTTTAGGCAATATGTTGTGTTAGACACATATCCATTGCTTCCAATCTTAAATTTTGTTATACAAACACTAATTTGCCTGCCCTTTTATTTGTCAACCTGTTTCTTTTGACATTGTGAATATTTGCATAACTGCTTAAACTTCTCTCACAAGCAGCACTTGTAGCTGGAAGCTGAAGAATTTTTGCTGTTACTTTGAATAATTCAGTAGATGAACATTATCCCTTTCACCAATTCGGAGCAAATGTTAAGTCAATTACTGTCCATAAAAAACTTTTTGAAAAAACGCCTCCTTTACATTGGTAATTTGCTAAATCAGACATCAAAATATCTATTTTGATATTAGACGAATTTACAGCAACTGAATGGATTATTTCACATGCATTAATCTGTTAAAAAAGTGTAGAATATTGATTAAAATTAAGTTAATTTTTTCTTTTTTCAAATTTAAAATTACTATTAACTTACCTTTTGTTCCCCATTCCTTAATACTTGGGGTCAAGTAGATTAGCAGCCATATGAATTTCTGTTAAGCAAAATTTTTTTCTTCTTTCAAATAGTTTCTTCATTTCTGCTTCTTCTTTTTTGCAAATAGTTTCTTAATTTCTGCTTCTTCTTTTTTCAAATAGTTTCTTCATTTCTGCTTCTTCCTTTTTGCAAATAGTTTCTTCATTTCTGCTTCTTCTTTTTTGCAATTAGTTTCTTCATTTCTGCTTCTTCTTTTTTGCAAATAGTTTCTTCATTTCTGCTTCTTCTTTTTTGCAAATAGTTTTTTCATTTCTGCTTCTTCTTTTTTGCAAATAGTTTCTTCATTTCTGCTTTTTTTTTTTGCAAATAGTTTCTTAATTTCTGCTTCTCCTTTTTTGCAAATATTTTCTTCATTTCTACCTCTTCTTTTTTAGTTGAAGGACTAGCTACTATGTTTTGATTATTATTTTCTTCTAAGATATAAAAATTTCAACTATAGATGACAGCATTGGGCTATCTGCTTCCGTTATTTTAATTGCATCAGCTATTGGTGTTAGCATAACTAAAAATCCTTGAACTTTATCCCAAAAAATATCTAATAACAAATTGTTTTTATTCGTAGAATTTAACACACAGCATTCAGAAATAGCCAAAGTTCTTAAGCACTATTTATTTTTCTGTAAACTCTCGAGGCATGCTACAGTTGAACCCCATCTAATAATAAATAGGTTTTAATCACTAATACTAACTTGATTAAAAAAAGTAAAAGAACAAATATATATTTTATAAAGCTATGTTTCAATTACTTGTACAAAACTTACAAGTACCTGGTTTTTACAGGAAGTTTTAATGAAACGCTTGACTCCACTGATGATTTTTAAATTTCTCTTAATATTGCACCTAATATGTGAGAATTTTTTACTTCCTTTACAATATCTGTTGCTTGTGACATTAACACGCAAAGAGTAGAAAGTTTCATAAAATCATTAAAAAGTAAATTGAGACTGTGAGATATACATCCATAGCGATTAAGGTAAGGATAGCTCTCTTTTATTAATCTCCATGCCTTTTTCATGTTTGCTGCATTGTCTGTTACTATTCCTAAGACCTTTTTAGGATTAATTTCTTCTAACACTTTCCGTATTTCATTAGCTATATATTCCCCAGAATGACTTGATGAACCTTAAAATTAATATTTTAATGAGAATAATCTACACAATGGTGTTCAGTTATATAATCAGAGGAATGTATGTACATTTTACCTGAAGGCAGTGATTTCCAAAAAAAAGGCACTGAAAAAGGCAATGTCAAAACAAAGTTAATAACTGCTTCATTTCTAAAAAATTTAAAGAATTTTAAAGTTTGAAAATGAAAATTATAACAATAAAAAATTCTATAATTTATTTGAACTCACCTTACATTACTCCACCTATCACACATGAATCCTAACAAATCTGCTGTTGCTACTACCTCTTTAACATTGGCAGAAATTCGATTATATTCATTTTCCAAAAGTCTATTTGACCATTCATTTCTTGTTGGGATTTTATACGCTGGACATAAATTATTTAAAAAGGTTTTCCAATATCTATTTTCTACTAAACTTAAAGGTGATCCACTAGCATAAATTTCTCTGGATAAATGTACATCAATTGATTTCTATTACAAAAATAAACTCAAATAAATAATTAAAAAAAAATTGTATTATAACTTTTTCAAATAAAAATATGTTAAAACTAACCTTTTCACATAGTTTCATACTATCAAACATTGAACAGGATTTTCCACTTTTAGAAGTTGGTTCGGAATGTTTTAACGCATCTGAATTTAAGGTTGGAGCAATATTTGTGACACTTTTAAAGTTATTATTAGGAATAAGATTTTTAAATTGGCTTTTTATTTTGCTTTGTATTATATCTTTTACGGGATGTTTTTGCACTACTATCTCATCATTTAAAAATTTGTGTTTCACTTCAGCTGGACATTTTTTACATTTCTTAATATGCTTTGCCATTCTTGTTCCACTTTTTGACATAATGTCATTGCAAAAAGAACATTGAACTCTCTCCATTTTGCTCACCTGGCTAGCTGGTTTAAATAAAGTGCTCACAGTTGTTTTTGTTCTACCACCAGTATGGCAACATACCACCTTTTTACTATTAATGCTCATATTTTTTAAATATTAGACCTAATAACTAGAAATCTGCCAAATTAATGACTAGAACCTTGATATTGTAAAATATAATTAATAATTTAGTTATTAATGAAATACGATAATAAAAGTTAACTTAAATTTATTGTTGATATAATTAATTGTAAGCTGGTACATTATTTTATAGTTTACAAATAAAATTTAATTAATAGTACAGAAAATTAAAAAAAAAAGAAGATACCAAGTAAAGTTTCATGAACCAAAAAACTTCTATTAAAACTGTGCCAAAATATCATTGAAACTTAAAATACTTTTACATTTTGCAATGCAGTGGTATTTCATTCATAAGATTATAAAAATTTTATTTTTTATAATTTTCTCATTCATTCTATTAAATAAATATGTTTTTAATTTTGAGGAAAAATTTGTTCAAGAAAATAGTTCTAATCTCAAAAAACTTTTCTGCGTTAAAAAGACAAAAAGTTCTCTCTATCTCTGTTTTATTAAAAAAAGATTTGTTAAATGATCTTTTTTTCTTTTATTTTTTACGTAATATAAAATAGTAAAGTAGGTAATTAAAGAACAATTACTGAAACTGTTTAATGAACAACTGAAGAACTTATAGTTATTAATTGGAGAACAATTGCTAATATTATTTGATGAAAAATTAAAAAAAAACAATACTTTTATTCATTATAATGGTAAATAGAAAAATAGAAATGTCTTTAAATATATATATATATATATAT